TGGCTACTGACCTTCAACTATTGCCACCTGTCGGCTCGTGGGAACCGGCTGCATGGCCTTGCGCTTGTTGTCGTTCAGTTGCTGTCACCGACTGGAGTCACTAGCCGGGGTCCGGGGAGCTTGAGGGGCCACCTTGCCCGATACGTTGACTTGAATCTCCGCCTTCATGGAGGAGTCAGCCGTGGCGTACTTGTCTGCTATGATTAGTAGTTTGTCGAGGGTCGCCGGCTCGTCATAGAGAAGCTTGTGCTTGAGGAGGGTGCCCTCTCAGCACCCGGCAGTGAAGTACTCGATGGCATGCACCTCGTGCACACCCTTGCACGAGTTGTGCAACTCGGCCCATCACGTAAGATAGTCGCGAGTCGACTCGTTGGGGCCTTGGACGCATAAGGAGAGTTGGCGGGGCTTGGGCGGCCGCTTGTACGTGCTGGTGAAGTTGCGGATGAATGCTTTGATGAAATCAACCCAGCTGTTGACACCGTGGGGCTTCAGGCTGTTCGACCACGTCCGGGCCGTGCCCTGGAGCATGAGCGGGACGTACTTCATGGCAACGCGCTTGTTGCCGTTGGCGATGCTGATGGCTGTGGAGTAGTCAACGAGCCAGTCCTCCGGCTTCACGGAGCCGGTGTACTTGGGTGTGTCTCTCGGGAGAGTGAATCCTTTGGGGAAGGGCTCATCTCGGATGCGCTAGGGATCGGTTGAGGCGATCGATTCGGTTGCGGGCATCGTTTTCTCTGATTCCTTCTCGGTGGCCAAGGCGGTCGCCGAGTGATGGGTGATCAATAGGCGGCGGGGAAATGCGCCTCTCCCTGCGGGGAGGAGGAGGCGGATAGTCGTCTCGCCGCCATACTGCTCTTGGGCGACCGTCTTGGTCGCGCTCGATGGTGATGTGAGTCCGGCTGCGGCTGGCAGCTGGATCCTTGTCTCTTTTGTCGCGGATGCCACCAGTCGGCGTCTGGGATGTCGCGCCTTGGTCTTGTCGAGGAGGCAGATCATTGTCTCGCCGGTTGGGCGCTTCAGTCCGGCACCAGGCATCTTGCTGCTCAGCAGCCGCGTCGAGGAGCTGCTGAACTCGCTCCGTCATGTGGCGACGCTCGTCGCCCTCGAGTTTGTCTAACTCGTCTGCTGCCGTCTGGGCAGCTCGTATATTCTCAGTTGGCGTGGCGTAGACGGGACGATCTGTTCCGAACATGCTGGCGATGGTCGCGCCATGCTGCCGAACCAAGCCAATGTGGCTAGGCCCGCCAGGAGCCGGCCTGTCGCCGATGGCACGCTCCATTTCCCGCTGATAGGCCTCCGAAAGGCGTCTCATGCTGGCCAGCCGGTTGGCGCTCTCGACGAGCAGAACGTGGCGCGCTTCCAGCGTCTTGGCGTCAGCGTCTTCTGGGATAGGCGCAGCCAGGTCCTGCATTGTCGTCCGCAACGGGTCCTGGCCACCTCCGCCAGAGTGCTCGCCGTGGTTGATGACGAGCACCTCCATAACGGCGCTGCCGTCGCTGTCCGCGCGAGGAAGCGGCTCATCGTGGACCACTACGTTGGAGGGGAACGCATCGAGTGACACCATGTCAGAGTCGACCAACATCGAGTCGGTGGAGCCAACCGACTCCAAGTCAGCAGCAGACTCGCTGGCGACGCGGAGCTGATCGAGGAGGCTCACGAGGCGGCTCTCAGGGCCATCATTGCCCGCATCAGACGTGGGCACGTCAGAGAGGCGAATCTCGCCAACAAGATCGGCGAGGCAGCTTGCCGCGCAGGCGGCCTCCGCGCCACGCAGCGCGTCGGTGCAGATGTCGTCCGGCATGCCGGGCTGGCTGCGCTCGCCGGGAAGGAACAAGGTTCCCGTCCAGAGCAGGTCTCCGGGAGATGGTGCACCTCGCCCCACGGTGGGCGCCAAATGTCGGGGGTTGGGTGCAACATATGCCAAAGGATGACTTATCATGGTGGGAGCGAGTAGAACATCGTCGGTGCCTGAAAGCAGGATGAGGCGTAGACACGAACGCCGGCGTACTTTACCCAGGTTCGGGGCTCTCCTTGGAGATAACACCCATAGTCCTACTCTGCGGGGTCTCTGCATGGTCACTAAGGCACAAGTGATACAATGGTGCTCCTCGAGCTGTTTGCTAGAGGTGAAAGAAGGCAGGCACGCTCTCTCCTCCTCTAGGTGTGGGTCTAGTTCTAACAGGTTGGAACTCTTTACATGGGTGCCCTGGGGGGTTTATATAGGCCTACCCCTCCCAGGGGTACATTGGTAATCTGTCGGGTGTAGGACCCGGCTGTCAGTGTCTTCGGTCGCCGGCTCCTCCGCCGGCTGCTGGGGCCCGCCGCCGGGTGGGCCCCGCCGACTGGTCTGGTACGAAGCCGACAGGCCGCTCCCGCCGCTCGCGGGTCTTGCCGGCTGCTGATCACTGTAGCCGTGGTGCTAATGACGCATGCTTGGTCAGGGGAGCGTGGCTACACTCCCGCTTCCTGGTGGGCGATTACTGTAGCCACACCGCGTCCCATTTGGTTGATGGCGCACGGGGCCCGAGGGAGGGATAAGCCGCCTGCCGGAAGCCGGCTTCCCTTAGGTCCGGCTGCCCTGACTTCTTCCGTCTTCAAGGCTCTCACTGCCTGGTGGGGCCAGCCGCCTGCAAGCCGTACCGACAGGCCGTCGTGGGAACAGGGCTCCGCCTGTGAGGGGGGACGTTTTGGGGGGAGAGGCAACAGTGCCGCGTCGTGCGGAGATCTCCGCCTGTACAGGGCACTGTGGCCACGCACGGCCCTGGATTCGGGGGCATGGCTAGCCATGCCCGGTCTTGTCTCTTTGATGAGGGCGCCACGGGTCGACTGCTAGGGGTCGCTCACTAGGAGTCGCCCTGTCGTGACGCCGTCTTCTGGAACTCGGCCGCCCTCGGCCAGTCGGCCGCTCGGCCAACCGGCCGCCAGAAGGCGAAGATCTATCTTGACGTCTTGAGGGGCGCAGCCAGCCCCGTGGTCTTGAAAGGGCAATTAACTAGACCATTGGACAATTAGCTGGTGGGTTGGGGTCAACTAATTTTTTGGGCTAGGGTCAAATGCAACTTTGACGGACATACTAGCTTCAAATTGGAAGGCATTGGGGATCAATTGACCCCAGTGTCCATACTAGAGCTTCGTCCCTGCTTCATGGTCAATTTGCTTATAGCAGAAATACTGATTTTCAGCCGACTTGAAGATGTAGATATTGTCGATTCATAATTGCCAAAATCGCCGGGTTATAAAACATGTCATGTTGGGTCATGATTGTTGCTGATGCCGGGTCATAATTGTTGCTGATGCCGGGTCATAATTGTTGTTGACGCCAGGTCATGATTGTTGCAGACGCCGGGTTAATATTATGATGACGTCGGGTCATAAACTTTGCTGATTTCTTCAATAATAATATAATACCTTGTTTGCTCAAAACTGGAAATTTGAAGTTGTTCCTCTCTCATATGCATATCACCTGTAGCCCCTAAGTCTTAAGAGGAGAACGTAGTGACAGCTTGAGACTTGCTTTAATATAAATGCTGCAACTTTGAAGAAATCCATGTTGTTCATGTAAGTCACCAATCATAAACTGAGCACTTTGTACTTCCCATGTGTAGTCCCCAAGTACCGGGTTGTCTTGCTTGTAGCAACCTGGAACTTGTAATTGCCTTATATTCATAAAAACTTCAACCAGTATAGCCCCCAAGGGCCGGGTCATTATGTAATAATGAGCAGGGACTTAGCAAAAAGGATATAAAGACAACTCATCTTCCTGAAAGAACCGAGTTTGTTGTCAATGTGATAATTTAAAAAGCAACTTGCATTAGCCCCCAAGTGTCATGATGCATGCTTGCAGCGACATGGGACTTGCATACTTGATAAAATCTTGAATTGAATAATGTATCGCCCAAGTGTCGGGTCGTATGCCTACAACGACTTGGAACTATTCCTTCCATTGATAAAGAAATAATAGCCATTACGCCGAAGCGACTTTGGAAACCTCAATCATAATACTGGTTATTGATAACTATAATAAAAATTCAGCCATGTTAGCTATTAAAGATTTGAATAATATAATCCAGTATGAAAACCTCAATCATTCAACACTGGTTATGACAACCATAATGAAAAATCCAGCCAAGTTTTGGCTAGTAAACCTGGAGTTAAATACCTAGCGGCTCTCGGCCAATGGCAACTTTAATATGCATCCATTTTACTCCAGGATGTAACCCGGAGGCTTATAGCCTTTGCAAAAATTCAGAACTGATAACTCTTTTGAAACACCATTTTTTTGATCTTTGATGATGGACTTGAACTTAATCATTTATGTAAGTCATAGCTTTGCATGTTCTGCACAAAGTTTAAACAACATATGCCCTGACAACTTAACGTCAAAAGCCAGGGCGGGTACAACCCAAACATAATATAGTTTTATGCAATTATGTAAAAGACTAGAATTAAGGCCATTCAAGCCTAAACATACGAGCGACTTAAAGTGAAAAGCCAGGACGGGTTATCAAACCTCGCGTATTTATATAACCAGGAAAACATACCTGTAGAATTGGCTCATACTGTCGGCTTACATCGCCATATCCAATAAGGATAACAATCCAATGATTTATGAGCGCATGATTCTAATGGTGTAATCCAAAATATACTGATGACTTAACATCCAAACCAGGGCGGGTTATCAAACCTCTACGTTTTTTGAAACTTCTACGTTTTTCTTTTTTGAGGTTGTTATCCTCACAAGTTTCTCTAGAGACGGTTTCATAGCAAAGAAAAGTCGGACATCGCTGATATCCTCTATGACTGAACGGGCCAACCAACTATAACCGGCCGTAGGCCCAAGAGGCAGAGCGAAGCGAGCCATACAACAAAGGCCCGGCCCAACTATCGAGCCAGGGAAACCCTAACCCGCCAGAGCTATAAGGCGCCGCCAGCGCCGCATTTCCCAAACCCTAGCGCCACAACCAGACGGCAGGTAAGGGAGGAGGAGAGCGGCGGCGAAGATGGTGTCGCTGAAGCTGCAGAAGCGCCTGGCCTCGAGCGTCCTCAAGTGCGGCAAGGGCAAGGTCTGGCTCGACCCCAATGAGGTCAACGAGATCTCCATGGCCAACTCCCGTAAGAGCCGCCCCCTCTCCCCACCCCTATCCGCTCTCCCTCGCCGCGCGTCTCGATTATCTCGCGTGTTTCGTAGATCTGTCGCCGAGGTGGTGATCCGCGAGGTTTAGGTCGTTCGAGGCGGGTAGAGCGATGCTTGCTTGTGCTGCGCCTGCTCGTAGATCGGATGAACAGCCTCGTGTTGCCGGGATGAGTCTTCTTCGGGTAGCTGAGTATCTAGACGGAACATCGTATAGCTGACCACTCTATGGGTTTGATTTTGTGCTGAGCTACCGTCATAGCTATGGGACTGTGATGTGCCACTTTGATGGTGTTTCTGATAGCAGATGAATCGGCGATTCATGTAGATGCTTTGTTTAGATTGAGTAAATGACAGAGTAGCTGCTTTAGGTGTTATACTTTACCTTTGTAATTCATGTACCAGCAGTCTTGTCTGCTAAGGTTCGGTTGTTGCTTCAGTCTGTGCATGTTAATCTCGTGGACCTAGCTCCTTATGCTGCTCCTCGGTTTGTATTAATAAATATGTAGTTCACATGCACTTCAATGTTGTTTGTTTATAATAGGCCGTTCTTGTGTTTGTTTGAACTCTTATTTGTGTGTACTTTGTACCTGTACTGTTGTTTCAATCCATTGGAGCTCTTCATTCTTCATTATGCTGTGTTATTGATTCATAATTGAGCATAACTGTGATTTATTGTTTGATTAATACTTGCAGGGCAGAACATCCGGAAGCTGGTAAAGGATGGTTTCATCATCAGGAAGCCTCAGAAGATCCACTCCAGGTCTCGTGCAAGGAGGGCACATGAGGCCAAGCAGAAGGGCCGTCACTCTGGATATGGTTAGTAGCCGCAACTTTAATTGGCATGATAGTATTCATCTTTGTAGATATTTGTGTTGTAACCTGTGATTTGGCTCTCTGCGCAGGTAAGCGTAGGGGTACCAGGGAGGCTAGGCTCCCCACCAAGATCCTGTGGATGCGGAGGATGCGCGTCCTGAGGCGCCTTCTGCGCAAGTACCGTGAGGCCAAGAAGATCGACAAGCACATGTACCATGACATGTACCTGAAGGTCAAGGGTAACATGTTCAAGAACAAGAGGGTCCTCATGGAGAGTATCCACAAGTCCAAGGCTGAGAAGGCAAGAGAGAAGACCCTCTCTGATCAGTTTGAGGCCAAGCGCGCCAAGAGCAAGGCAAGCAGGGAGAGGAAGCATGCCAGGAGGGAGGAGAGATTGGCTCAGGTAAGATGATGTTTTCACCTAGCCTGTCTATGCACTATATTGAATTCTGAAATACTTGATGTTTACACATGTTACCTGAGAAATTAGAAATCTTATTATCATCTTTTACTACCAATGCGGGGCTTGCTATACTTGGTGAAATTTGTCTGTTGATCTTAGATAACAGACCGTTCAGAGCTGGATGTTCGTGTTGAATGTAGCAAGCTATTTGTCCTTGATTAAATTTTGTTACTTGCTACTGCTATCCAGCAAGGTTTTTGTTGTTAGACCAATTTGGTTGACTTGTACTATTTGGCTAACAGGGCCCCAGAGATCATGCACCAGCACCAGCGGCTGCAGCTCCAGCTCCAGCAGCAGCGTAAGCATCTCCATCCAAAATCTTTCTCCACATAGTTAATGTGTTTTGTTCTGTTTTATCTTACCTTCTCCAATTTGCATCGTTTACAGGGCACCAAAGAAGGCCAAGGCCAAGAAGTGAAGGTCTGACATGAAGCTTTAGCTTTCTGGTATCATGAAGGGTTAGCCTGATTTTGGAGCATCTGAAGTTCAGAACTGTTTTCTGTGCAATATCTGTGTGCCGCGTATGAGATACCTTAAATATCATATCGTGTTTGTTCTGTTGGATGTTGCTTATGCAGAGTTTCTTTAAACATTTCGGTTCACAGAACCTAGTTTTACATATTCTGTGCGTGCAAATTTATGTACCTACTGTGTTTGTGATGGTAATAGTGCCTGGGTGCCTTCAGTCATCAGAACAGGTGATGGATCTTGGGCGCACAAAAGGTAGATTTACATCACAAAAAGAATATTTGTCATCACCTGAAACGCTTTTGCTACAGCAGATGCCCTATATTGGGCATGAATACTTTGAAACCATTGTAAACTTGATCAAACATGCAAGACATTTGAAGTTTTGAACAACAAATCTCTATGCTTCATCTGTGATTGCATGTCATTCTGATACACCTTATAACTAAAAGAACAACAGTGTGAAGTTGATGTAACATAATCACACTTTAGTCTTTGCGTATTGGGTGCTTGGATTAAGAAGGAAAAAAATGATAATATGCCATTGATACATCGATGTATGGTTTTAACTGAACCACCATAAGCATTTCCTGTGTATTTAACTCAGATATATGTGCATCACGTGAAAGAGATATGAAAGAGTAAGAAAATCTTAGCAAATGAGATGACATGTATCTTAATTCCTATAAAAAAATGTTGTTCAATGCATATCATAGGATTTTTTTTAATTGAGTTTAGGCTAATGCTTTTTTCATTTTGAAATGTGAAGGATTGGTTCCTATCCTACTACATAGGCACAAGAATCCGTTCGTACAAACCAAATGGCTTGAAAGAAATGTTTCCTTCGAAAATTCTATGCTATAGAATTCATACAATCCTACAAACCAAAGGAGTGTTGAAGTGATTTGTTCTGTTCTTACCCATGACATGGAAGTGGGATGGCACCCGTTAGGTTTGGGTACGGGTAAAGGCTTCACCCAGGCACAATCACATACCCGTACCCGATCTACACAAATGAATTTGAGATTTCCCTATTTATGTACCATGGGTATTTTTTTTGTCCTATATTCTTATCCTAATCGCGAAAGCATCAACTCTAGCACTTGTCCTCCAAAGCTGTCTACACATCCGCTCCTCGGCCTCATACCTCGGCACGCAGCTGTGCGGCCTCTCTAGCTCGGGGTTTCGTTCCCGCACCAACGCATCTGCCTTGCCCGACGCTAGCATTGCTCCATGCGCGGATCCACGGGAAGGGGTCGTCATGGGTGGGGATGCCATGCGTGGATCCACGGGAAGGGGTCGTCGTGGGTGGGGATGGCACCGGCGCAACGGACGGTGGTTTGTTGGGAGGAAGAAGGCAGAGGCAGGGCGAAGCACATGTGAAGTTTGCTGATGTATTTTGTGTTTGGGCACAACCGCGCGTGATGCAAGTTTGTTGGTTTAAAAGCAGGGACTATCTATTTAGCATTTGACTGATTTACAATTGGAAAACATTCAAATTTCCACACAAATCAAATGTTGACAGTTGTGTGTCCAAAAACATACGACAATTGTATGTTTGTATGCCCAAAAAAATGGGTCAGGCTGAAAATCTGATCCAGTTATAATATAACTAACCAAAATAAAAAAAAATCCCATTGGATCGGTCGCCCACACTCCTTACCCTTTCCTGGATCACAAATCACCTAACAAAGAAAAAAAAAATTAAAATCAGAAAACAGCTGGCGATTGCGATTCCTAGGATCCTCCTTCAACTTGCATCCTACACAAGGGCCCGAACTCTACTACTCTAACCAATTCACATATCTCACCTAACACATAGAACTCATCTGGGAGGCGCCATGGGAGAGGGGAGAGAGAAGAAGAAAGAGTAGACGCCATGGGAGAGAGGGAGAGAGAAGAGCAAAGAACAGAGAGGCATGTCAAAAGGAAAAGTGCCCAAAGAGAAGTAAGAAAAAAAAAACAAATGCACAACACCAAGAGATAATCCACAGGTTCAGAAAAATCTCTCAAAAATACTTGCTGACATGATGGAAGAATACTTGTTAACTGTTCTTCTCTATTTGGTTGCACAACACGTGAGAAAAACTTTCTAGAATAACTAGTGAAAGTAACGTATGCATGTTACTAGTCCATGTTACTCCCTACTGTGGCTAGTCTCACAACCCATCGTCTGGTGCACTGAATGTTAGAAATGGGACAGCGAGACTTGTGGAATCTTTGACTACCGTCCATTGTGTTCACATTGGTTGCAAACTGGGCGCTCCATTTTGGATTGCATACCATGTTCTTGGAGGATTCATTGAACTCTTGAAAAACAAATAGAATCGTCATCGTTTACTTTAAGTGCAAGAAATAACATGATCAGCCGATTGAGAGTAGCGATGAGGTGAGGCCTGGTTCTAACACGGGAGGCGAGCCTATTGGCCAGCTCTTCCATCTTGTCTCCGCGAAGCTGGAAATAGCTTTGTTGAGGGCTAAGAGCGCGTGTTTGACACTAACCCATGAAGTTGAACATACACGCATTGACGACAACAGACATGAGCGCAGCGAGGCACTTCATGACGAATATGGACAACATCAGTGACAGAGGATCACCCTGCTTGATTAGTCTTGGCATGTGTCATTTGAAGGACTTTGATGTGACATCTAGTTTTTATGTGACGGAGCTTTGCCATTTGTGTGTATTTTAATTCTTTAACTTGGTAATAAATTGTAAGACTTGGTCGTTTTTCTAAGGAATACAAACAATTTCTAAAACCAATCATACGATTATGAAGTACTCCCTTCATAAAGTAATAATATAATAAAAGCATTTAGATCACTAAATTAGTGATCTAAACGCTCTTATATTAGTTTACGAAGGGAGTACCGTTTTGCCTTATCGTCGACCATGGAATAGGTGGGAACTCAACAACGTTTATTTGGGAATAAAATAAAAATCAACAAGGCTCTTGATTCTGTACATAAGCTGAAGAGAATATTATGTACTAGCAAGGGGATGTAGCTCAGATGGTAGAGCGCTCGCTTAGCATGCGAGAGGTATGGGGATTGATACCCCACTTCTCCAATTGAACCTTTTTTTTTCGCGTCAAAGTAGGATGCATTTTTTTTTCTCGCGTTGGCAGGCAAAAGTGGGGTTTGTGCTGACGAGCCAGGCCCGTGTGGACAACCTGTTGGGCCCGTTGGCTGGGACCAGCGGAGACGACGTGGCAGGGCGGCCAGCGCCACGTGCCACAGGGTTTGTCCCGTGATTCTGGACTGGAGCGTGTGCTATTCGATCCATTTTCATTCTTGATTTCCCCTGCGCGTGCTTTCGTGCCATTGCGCGATGGATTTAATTCAACTGTGGAGTAATTTGTTTTGCAAGCACTCAGCATCAAACGGACACAACAATCAGGTATGCTTGCTTTGCAGAAGCAAAGTGAAGTGAAGCAGAAAGGAATCGCGTGTGATGATGGCCAACTTTGCTTGCAACCCGGCCCGGAAACAAACATTCTCTCTCGACAACACAAAAGCTGGAAGAAGAAGAAGAAGAAGAAGAAGAAGAAGAAGAAGAAGAAGAAGAAGAAGAAGAAGAAGAAGAAGAAGAAGAAAGACCCATGCATATGATGATCTTACACTACTGACTATCTACTCGCAAGGAATGCTCCATGAGGCCATCTCCCTCGCGCATCCCTTCTTGCCACCGTCGATCCTGATAAGCCACCTGCAAGATCCGGCGAGCCAAAACCCATGAGAGTATGAGACCAGACCAGATATCGGAGGCAGGCAGGCAGAGAAAGAAGAGCACGCAACGCAAGGTGGTGGTGGATCGCGGTCCGAATCCATGGGAGGCAGAGCAGGAGGAGGACGAATACCAAGGAAGAAGAAGAAGACGGCGGGCGGGCTAGCGGTGGACGATGTGGGAGCACTTGGCCTTGATCCAGCGGAGGCCCCTGCGGAGGGACGCCTTCACCTTGCCCTCCACGGCGTACGCCTTGTAGCTGGCCACCCGCCCCCGCCGCTTCATCTCCGCCTGGTCCCCCACGAACCACGCCACCGACGACGCCGCCGCCGCCGACGCCACCCACCGCGCCCCCGCCACCTTCCGCTCCACCACGCCGTACTCCGCCGCGTAAGGCCGGTACGTCGGCGCCATCCCTCTTTACTTCGCTGGAGGGCAGGGGGAGAGAGGAGAGGGAGGTGGGAGCCTGGAGGGCGGGCAGGGGCGCGACAATGAAGGCCAGCTAGCTGCAGCGCGAGGCAGAGAGAGGGCCGCTGCTGTGCGTGATATCAAGAGGCCGCAGCGACCGAGTTGGCGGCCAGCGGCATCCTATGCTCGGGGCCTCGGGTCATATGGCGCTCGGCGTCGCCTCGCTGACCGTCCGATCGGGAATCTGATGCCTCGGAAGCAGGGCTCACTCAACTGTGTGTCCAGATAGTCGCATTGTATACCTTTCCGCGTCACATGCCACCCTCTCAAGGTCCTCGGCACGAGTGTCCCTTTCGTCGCGTCGAGACAAGCAATGTGTCCATTTCATCAATTTTATACATATAATATAATATACCGTAATATTTTACTGGAGTGGTATTACAGTAATTAATTTGTTGACAGATCGATGTTCAACTTGTCCGCGTCGACGGACACGAATGGAAGGGAGATGAGTCTGAGTGCAAGGTATGGCGTGTGCTCCGTGACTGGAACCTCACCACGATGCGGTGCGTGGTGGAGCCGAAAGCCCCCGAGACCGGAGATATCTTTCCCCTCCGGGGACGACAACAAAGGCTGCTTGCGAAATGCATATCCGTTCCTTCAGCTTGGCGGCTATGAAAAGGAACACATGTATATGCCTTGCTTCGTAAGAGAACTGCTAGGGGTTACGGTGTTGCTTTATTGTCTACAGAAAAGAGAACAGAGGGAGATATTTATTCTCTTCTTTTGTGCCAGGATTTGCTGCTTTATCCCTTCCTGATGCAGACGGGCTTGGGATGCCAGTTGCAATCCCTTTAAGATGCAAACCCCTCTGATTGCAACTGGGTAAAATATTGCTAGTAAACAACTGGAAGTTCCCACAAAAAAAGATTTAAAAAAAACTGAAAGAACCTCAAACCACCAAGAAAACACACACACACTTGTAACCATATGGGCGCTGAATAAAATGCATGAATATCCCAACCCAATCACAAGATAGGACTTCCTTCAGATGATTTTTCAGCTGCGCGCCGACACACACGGTGGGTGGATGACATGAAAAAACTGTTCATTTTGGCAGGCAATGAATGAGCAATGCTGCTGTATACCAGTAAATTTTTAATAGCAGTAAATTTTGGATGCAGGTCTTGTGGGAAGAATCCAAAAACCTTGTGTAAACACATTTTTGTTCCAACCCCAAAAACAAAGCACATGCCAACTGCAAATTTGTCAGCCCATAGGCCCCAGGGAGAGCAAATAACACACATGACACAACCTATAATAAGAACTGACATACATG